AAAAATGCATTAATACCATGATTCCTGGATCTTGGGGTTAGGGCCTGGCTATCTAGTTGAGGCCCTCTGCAGGGCAGTGTGTAGAGACAGGCAGCTATTGGGAATTACATTGTTTTTGCCAGCCAGAACTGTGTTAACAAAAGGGAAGATGTGCTAAGGCAGCCAAGCCTGTAAGCTGCTGACTGGACGCTCCCAGGCAGCCCCTCCCTCTGTTGCTCAGCTTACTTCTGGCTGGTGGCTTACAGGGACCCTTCCCCTCCCTTTCCAGTTCTTGTTTCTGTGTCTGAGAACTGCTTCCTTTGCCCTATCATCTCTGTGCTAGCGGGTTATCTCCACTCTCTGAGGACTTGATCAGGACCATCTACATCAGAATGATCCCAGGGGCTTGTTAAGATTGCCAGACCTTGCTCAAACCTATTGAATCAGAATCTTGTGTAGGGTAGAAGTTCCATATCTGAAAAGGGGTACTGCTGAGCCATCTCACAATAAATTTTGAGACACCCCCTGACACCCATTGATTGTGGTTGTGTGAAATGGAGGAGGCTGTGCAGAGATCACAGCTTAGCTGGCTCCGGAGCACAATAACCTGGCTTTACTACACACTGGCTTGGCCTCATTCTGTATGTCTCTTATGAAGCACACCTACAATGGCAGTATCTGCCAACAGGATTACTGGGCCTGCTGTTCCGTAGGCACTTAATAAGTGCTAACAAAGCTACATTATGGTTGCTACAGGAAAAAGACAGGGGGTTTGGTAAAACTGATGACGGGAAGCCCACCCTCCAGGATCCCTGCAGAGGCATGGATCACATCTGATTCACAGGAACTAAAGACTGCAGAAAAAGAGAGGGTTCTCTGTGTAAGAAGAGAGGGAGGGTGACTGTATTGTCCCTGGGGATGGCCTCGGAGGAGGTCTTGGGAAGCGTCCTTCCACCAGAAGTTGGGCTCTGGAGGATAAGCCATCTTGGGGCACAGGAGCCCCTAGGCCTACGTTCAGTCCACCACCTCCACCTTCCTGAAGGGCTGGCCCTGAGCCCATCACGCTTCTCCTACTTGTCATAGCAAAGGGTGCTGGAGTAGCAGTCAGAAAATGAAGGCAAATCCCTTCATTTGAATCTGTCTCTTCACTCAGAAAATAGAGACAATAGGGTTCTTGTACTGGGAAGAAAAAAAAACAACCCCAAAACCCCTGTAAATGTGGTAATTTTTCAGTTCTTTTTAAAATATAAGGTATGCTTATTTTTAATCTTTTTCTCTCTCATGCTTCTTATTTTAAACTTAAAAAAAAAAAAAAACTTCCTCCTTAAATCCGATATCCTCTCACGCTGCTCTTCACCCTTTCTCCTCCTCTTGCCAACAGTCTTAAAAGAGGCACAGGTGAGAATGGTTGAGGGGTACAGGGGCCAGAGGACACAGAGTACAGAGTGACACTCCCCAAAGACACGAGGTAGAGAGGAAGTGGTGCTCAGAGTCTGGGCTGGGGGTAGGCAGGGTAAGGGATTCTGTCCTTGTTCTACCTCTTGAGTTGGGAGCCCTAAGCCTTGTCTGTAAACTGGGGATAATGGTATCTTCAGGACTGCTGTGAAGACTAGAATGCACAAGCCTAGGATAGCAGAGAACACATAGTAGGTGCTCAGTAAAGCTAGTGTCCTCGCTGTACCACCCTCTCAAGCCCCAGCTTCATTTAACAATGTGACTGACCCCTTGACTCCCACCATCCTCTACCCAGCAACCTAGGAAGAACTGTCCACTTTGGGCTAGGAGCTGAGTTTGGTGTGATGAACTGACTCAGCTATATAGTAGCTGGGCTGGGGCTGGGGGATGCCAAAGGAACAGAACACAACATTGGCCATGCATGTATGTGTATGAGAATGCACTTGTGTATAGTGTCAGATGTCAGGCACATTAAAGTCATTCCTTCAATCTAATGCAGATATTACTTATGGACTGAGAATAAAGGGCTGTAGGAGCACCAGAGAGGGAGAGTGTACTCAGTTGGAGAGGCCCATTAGGAGGAGACATCCCTTTGGAGGTATATGAAGCACTCAGAGCGTGTGGAATAAGGTAGAGAGGAAGGGAGAGACCAGTAGGAAAGGATGTTAGTGCTAAGTCTGCCAAGCCTGGTGGGAACATGTGGTCACCCCTTCAGAGTTAGAACTCTCAATTCCTGAAGCTCACTCAAAGATTTATTCCTGACTGTATTCCTTGGTTGTTTCTTGGTATTTGTTTTCTTTAGCTATTTCAAATTATTCAAAGGATATAAATGTCTTTTGAAAAATGTTCTATTTTTCCTTCTGTTAAAATTACATGAGGAAAATTTTCTTCTACAATCAAGGAATGGAATGGTTATATAGTCAGGACGGCCACACCCATGTCAAGTTTGAGGATGTGCAGACCCAAGTCAGGGATAGGGATAGGAAGAAGAGGCAGAGTGGGGCCCAGAAGGGTCAATGGGCATTTCTTGGTAATGCAGAACAGCAATCAATGACCAACTCACCACACCAATGGAGAAATAGTTGTTCATGATGCTGTATGGGACCTGGTCTCCATTTTCCATCTCTTCTCTGGGGATGACTTCTAGATACCAACGGTCCAGCATCACCAAGGGGCTCTGCTCGATGTCCTTCAGGATTTTTGTCAAACTGCCCCCTTCGTAACCTGTGGATGATGGTATGACATGTGCTACCAGAACAGAGAGGCGAAGTTGTTGCTGATGCAGGACAGGTAACTCCTTGGGCTAGGAGATTTCCCAGCATGTCTTTGGGCTGGAGGCATCTATGTTCTCTAAACCATGGAGAAGGGGAGGGCAGTATGAAATAATTAGAAAGAGGCTGGAGATAAGTTGGAAGTCTAAGAGCACAAATGGAATGGGGGTGGGTGCTAGCTAGAGGTAGGCAGGCCTAAGGAGCTGAAGCAAGCTTTAGAGAATGGGTGAGCAGATAAAGAAAAATAAAATTCTGCTGTTTGCAGGAAAATGGATGGAACTAGAGATTATTGTGTTAAGTGAAATAAGCTAGTCTCAGGTATCTCATGTTTTCTTTATATGCAGAATGGAGATTAAACAAATCTATCATCCATCATCTAGCTATCTGTCTGGCTTGACGGTAGAAAGAGGACTATTTGGGAAGAGGAAGGAGCCGATAGGATGGGGGAGACAAGAGAAGGTAGGAGGAGTCAACAAGATATACGTGTATGGAAAATGTCATAACAAAACTCATTATTTTGTACAATGAATATACAATAACTGAAGAATGAAAGAGGAAAGAAGGAGGAAAAGAAGAAAGGCAGGCAAGCACATGGCTGAGAAGCCGTGTGTGGTAGATAATATACTGATTCTAAGACTGTGTCTTGGAATGTGGGAGATGGGCAGTGTGGCAGTAGGCAGACCGTTAAGATAACTCCTCTGAGCTAACCTCCTCTGGCCCTGCCCTCTAAGCAAGAGTCGTTGGTGCTGCCTGACCTGGCCTGGCCTTGAATCATTCCCTTAATTGATTAGCCACCTGGAGTGCCTGTCCCTCTTCTGCCAGCTGGGTGGATTTGTCTTCTCTGAATGGAGCTAGGCTTTGTATTCTGCACATGCCCAACTCCACTGGGCTGCTCCTGTTTGCAAAGTTCTTGCCCTTTGCTCTAAAAGCCAATCATCACTCTGTTCCCCTAAGGGGAATTTCAAGATGAAAGCCCACAGCCCCTGGGGGCCTGGGCTGTCTGGATATTCTGGTATCTCTGAGTAACTGGTGTTGTGGCATTTCAGTCTACATTCTGAGCCCTAATTCAGATCATTCCTTTGAAGAGAAGGAATTTCATACAGGGAACTTCCTAATGAGCCCATACTGGGATGAACTGTGAAGGGGCAGATGAGATTTGTCTTTATCCTAAATTTGACTGTGTTCTACTGGAGGAGGCTGGCTCTAAGCTGATGACTTCAGGATAACAGTAAAGGGAGAGGGGAGCACAGGCTCCTGGGGCCCAAAGGAGGGGCTCCTATTTCAGACCCAGCATGAAATGGCAGTATTGAAGATTAGTTACACCTGCTGTTGAGTATCATCCTATGATCAGTAAAAAGTAAGTGACTCAGTTCTGTCCAGCATCCCTGTAAATCAGAATGCTGGGCCCCAGTGCAGCACCAGGGGCATGCAGACTCACCTCCTCCCCAGCGGAGACACCGGGCAAGGTCATTTCCTGTTCCAAGAGGCAGCACAGCCACTGGTGGATGCTTTGCGAAGTTGGCCTTATCTGCAACCCACACGAAGGAACAGATAGGCCATGCGATTACAGATGGTTGGATTATCTTATTATCCCCTATCTGCTGTTTGAACCCCTTCCACAGCATTCACTGAATACCTTCCATGGTGGAAAGCACACCACTTCCTGAAGCCATCTACTCCATTTGCAGTGCCTGAGCCACCATAAGTTGTGTCAAAGCTGTCAATTACTTCTTCGTATGAAGTTAAATCTATCTCTCGACAATTTGCACCTAGTGATCCCACATTCATCCTAATTTTGTTCTTTGAGATGGGGCATACACTTCAAAAACGTTGGCTGGTGTGATTTTATTTTTGGTTTGTGTTTTGAGACAGAGTCTCAGTATGTAGCCCTAGCTAGCCTGGGACTTGCTACTCAGACCATCCCAGGCTGATCCACCAAGCTCTGGTATTAAAGGTGCATGCCACCATGCCCAGCAGCTCATGTGATTTTTAAAGTGTGTGTGTGTGTGTGTGTTTCATTAGTTTGTTTGAGTCTTTTTTGGTCTTTTTGAGACTGCCCCAGCTGGCCTGGAACTCACTATGTAGACAGGCTGGCCTTGAATTCACAGAGATCTGCTTGCTTCTGCCTCCTGAGTGCTGGGATTAAAAGCATGTGCCACCATGCCCAGCTGTGATTTTTAATGTTAAATAACGAGCACCCCTTGCTCCTATTTATTTTATAGAACAATCCTGCAAAGTTGAAGGTTCATGGAGGGGAAGTAATTCTAGAGTCAGAATCCAAAGCCAGATCTCTGTGTCTTCAAGTCCATTCTGTTGGGTTCAGGGGCTAGGCAGTACAAATAGTGAAAGAGGCGGGCCCAAGACATTAGGGAATGGTGGTACATTTGGAAAACTGGAATAACTCACCAAAGCCACTCCCATATTAAAGCTTAAAAAATAGCATTGTGCCAAACAAGGAAAACCTCTGGGTGTTATTTGATACCCACATACCACTTTATTATCCCATGACTGGCACCTCTTTTCAGAATGGCAAACACACAGATCTCTACTCTTTGCTCCCTCATGACTGTGCAAGAACATTACCAGAACAGTTGGAGAAAGCATGGCCAAACATGCTTTCATCTGGCTGCAGGTCACAGCAGCATGCTGGCAGGGCAAGAAAGGCTGGAGGCACAGGCACTTGCTGGGTTTTGAGGGAATTTACACAGACCCTTCCCTACCTGGTACTCGGAATGTGAGCAGTCATAGGAGGGGCAGGGGGAGCTGTAGGGATCAGTTGGAGAACTCAAGCTGGGCCTATCCTGGAGCACATGGGTCCTCCAGTCGGCTGACCTGTGCCACAAGCGACTGCTCAGGGCTGAGGTGGAAAATGGAACAATGCAGTGGACTCTCTTATGGTTCCCCACACATGACTGAAGTCCCACCTGCCTCCCAGCCTGTGCGTATGTCATTCCCATTGCCTGGAAGGCTGTTGTTTTCTTATGTTTGTCCATTCTTCTGTGGTGTCCACCTCAGCAGAAGGTGGACACCACACCATCCTTAAACCTAGCTCAGAAATCTGCATGCCATCCTAGGTTTCAACTCCGTTCACTCACACATCACTTCCTATGTGCTATCCCCTTAACAGATCCCCCAGCAACCTCCTCTCTCTGTCCCCATGGCGATGCTGAGTGAGAGCTGATACTTTCCCACTGGTACTCCTGCCACAGCCCCCTCCATTCCCTTTGCCCCAGAACCACCCTCCCAGTGCTTCTCCACATTTCAACTTAGGAGGGCAGTGCCTGGGCTCCAAGCCCCTCTACATTAGTGCCCTGCTTGACCTCTGCTGCAGCTCCCATTACCCCTAGCATGCCACATTAGGTGTCAGGATCCAGGCTCTGTCTTTCTCCCTAGCCTTCACCTTCTGCACATCTTACCTCCCACCCTAAGATGTTACCATCCTGAAGTATTCTCAGTCCCCTCTCTCTGCAGTTCAGCTCAGAAGTCACCCCAGGTTGCCTAAGCCTGCACTTGGAGTCCCCAGTGCTCCTGCAGCACCAGGGTAATGCCATTGCACACTTTTGTAAATGCTGACTTGGTTGTTCCCTGAATGTACTGTAACCTCCTAGGATAATGTGTTTCATTCTCCATAACATCTCCATACAGATCCAACGAGGCCTGCTTTATGCCTGATGCTGTGGGAGGTGCCCCGGATCAGGGTCTGATGATGTGTCAGGTCTGGGAGTGGAGTCAGAGCTTTCTGAGATCTTCACACATAGAATGAATAACTTCACATTCTCATTGGAAAGGAAATGGGCATAGTTTTACAGCAAGGTGACTGCAGCTGACTGGTATGTCAGGGGAGGCCCCTGGGGAAGCCACACTTCAGCTGACATCTGAAATGGAAGCTGACTGAACAAAGACTGGGGGACACACCAGAAGGGAGGACCACATAGACAAGGCTCTGTGTGGAGGAGGGAGACTGGTACATTTGAGAGCATGAGAGCAGGGCTGGGTGGCTAGAATCCCAGGGGAGAATGGAGGGCTGGCATAGGCTAAGAAGGTGAGCAGTGACTGGACCACTTAGGCTTTGATCGTAGGAAGGGTCTTTGTCTTTTTCTGAAGAATTTCAGGAAGCCCCTGATGTCTTTTATGTCCATCATGAACCCACTGACATTCAGCAATGAGCATTATGGCTGTAGCAGGGGGAGATGAGAGGGAGGACCTCCGTGTAGTGGTGATTCCTGAGCAAGCGCTTCAGTGCACGTTGAACGAAGAAAGGAGTTCCCGATACAGCTTTTTAACGTGTTGTTTCTCTTTTAGTCACTAACCTGTGCAAAAAAAAAAATTCTAACATTCCTTCCATCTCACATAATCTTCTTTCTTTGTTTTGAGTTGCCTCTGTCACCTGCCATTGCTGTGGTGGGATTCTGTAAAGCATTTCACCAAGGCCATTCCTCCTCTCTGGGGTGACTGGGACAGAGGACTAGAGGACTGCCAGAGTAGTTCCACATTGCAGCCCCACCTCAGCTCATCAGCCTCTCTTTCCATGGCTCTTGGAGGAGCAGTCTGCCCTCTCTCCACAAACAACTCAGAGCCTAAGGTGACAGGAGTGTGGCAAGTGTGCATCTGTCTGTCTGTCTGTCTGTCTGTCTGACAAGGAAATGAAAGCACTGCTCATGGAGCAGCAGGTGGCAGGTGTGCCTTCTTTCCTCCACACAGTCTCCTTCTCACTGTGGAGCCCACCTCGACTGCCTGACTTGGTCTAGTTCTGGCCCAACCTTGATGCTTCTCATCCTTTAGTCAATGGTGTCTC